CTTAAGAACACCAATGTTCAGATGGATCTGGGCGTGCAGGTCCATATTTCCCTGAAAATGGCAACACAGGTAGTCAAGGTGACTGAGAAGGCATATGGCATTCTTGCCTGCATCGCCCGGGGCATGGAGTACAAGAGTTGGCAAAACATGTTGCAGCTATATAAAATCCTTGTTAGGCCGTATTTGGAATATTATGTGCAGTTTTGGTCACCACACTACCAGAAGGATGTGAAAGCTTGAGAAAATGTACAGAGAAGGCTCACCAGGATGTTGCCTGGTCTCCAGGGCATTGACTATGAGACAAGATTAAAAAGATTAGGATTGTTTTCACTGGAAAGACAGCGGCTAAGAGGAGACCTGATAGAGGGCTACAAAATTATGAGAGGCATAAATGGGGTTGATAGTCAGAGGCTTTTTCCGAGTGTTGAAGTTTCAATTACAACGGGGCACAGGTTCAAGGTCAGAGGGGGAAAATTTAAGGCAGATGTGTGAGGGAAGTTTTTCACGCAGAGAGTAGTAGTAGCCTGGAATGCACTACCAGAAGAGGTCATGGAAGCGGGCACATGGAAGAGATTTAAGAAGCCCCTAGATGGGTACATGAATAGGGAGCGAACAGAGGGATACGGATTGAAAAATGGCAGGTTTGTTTTTAGATTAATTAGGGCATGATGGTCGGCACAGGCTTGGAGGACCGAAGGGCCTGTTCCTATACTGTCCTTTTTCATTTGTACATTTTGTTCACTTGTTCAAAATGTAGGTGGTCTGAATAGTAAGTTTGCAGATGATACCAAAATTGGCAGAGTTGCAGGTAGTGAGGAGGTCTATCAAAGGATACAGCAGGATATAGATGGATGTCAGATTTAGGCAGAGAAATGGCAGATGGAGTTTAATCCGGACAAATGTGAGGTGATGCATTTTGGAAAATCAGATTCAGGTGCAAACTACACAATAAATGCCAGAATCCTTTGGACCATTGACATACAGAGAAATCTGGACACACAGGTCCACAAATCCCTGAAAGTGGCAACACAGGTGGCTAAGGTGGCCAAGAAGATATACAGCACACTTACCTTCATTGGCCAGGGCGTGGAATATAAAGGTTTGCAAGTTATGTTACAGCTGTATAAAACTTTAGTTAGACCACATTCAGAATAGTGTGTGCAGTTCTGGTCGCCACACTATCAGAAGGACATGGATGTTTTGGAGAGGGTGCAGAGAAGGTTTACCAGGATATTACTTGGACTAGAGGGTTTTAGGTACGAGGAGATGTTGGATAAACACAGATTATTATCATTGGAAAGGCACAGGCCGAGTCATGACCTGATAGAGGTCTACAAAATCATGAGAGACGTGGATAGTTAGCAGCTTTTTACCAGGGTGGAAAGGTAAAATACAAGGGGGCACAGGTTTAAGGTAAGACAGGGAAAGTTTAGAGGAGAAGTGCAGGGAAAATTTTTCACACACGGAGTGATGGGTGCCTTAAACACACTGCCAGTAGAAATGGTGGAAGCAGGCACGTTAGCAACATTTAAGGCATATCCTGATGGACACATGAACAGGAGGCAAACGAGGGAAAGAAACTGCCTAGGGGCAATAAATAGTGTGTCTAAATAAAGATTACAAATCAACACAGGCTTGGTGGGCCAAAGGGCCCATTCCTGTGCTGTCTTGTTCTTTGTTCTTTAAATCACACACTTGATATCACAGCAGTGACACAGGCTGCAGAGATTATAGACAGATTAATGGAGTAGGCAACAAGATGGAAGACTGACTGTAGGGAAGTGAGATTTTCTTTTTATATTCACTCATGGGTCATGGGCATTGCTGCCTGGCCAGTACTTACTGCCCATTCCTAGTTGCTCGAGAAGATGGTGCTGAACTGCCTTCTTGAACCACCGCAGTCCATGTGTTTTAGGTAGACCCACAATGCCATGAGGGAGGCAATTCCAGGATTTTGACCCAGCAATAGTGAAGGAACTGTGATATAATTTCAAGACTGGATGGTGATTCTTCACTTGCAATGCAAAAATAAAAAAGCAGAATACTTCTATAAGGTGTGAAATTTGTAAATGTTGATGTTAAAACAAACCTGGGTAACTTGGGGGTAACAAGTAACTCAAAATTCAGCATCTTACTTTCTGCTTGGGGACAAAGCAGCCTTCAGGACTCGATATCAAACTTAATAATTTTAGAACCTGAACACCTTCCTCTCTGTCTTTCACCCACCCTCACACACCTAGCCCTGTTATGACATGAGCTGCTTTCAACACAGCCAACTCACACTCCGATTTGCTCCCATCACCAGCTTTTCTTTCTCCCAGGCTTACCATTATCCATCCCTTTGTCTCCCTAACTATTTCTCTCTCTCTGGGCTCCGTCTCCACCTATTCACTTATTACTTCCCACTCCATCCCCCTATCTCATCTTGAGGTATATATACCAGCATTTCAGAGCTATTAATAGTTCTGAAGAAAGGTCACTGGACTTGAAGCTTTAACTCTGCTTTCTCTCTACAGATGCTGCTACACCTGCTGAGATTCTTCAGCAATTTCAGATTTCCAGCATCTATACTTCTTTGTTTTATAGAATTTATTGTACAAAAGGAGGCCTTTTGACCCAACATGTCTGTACTGTTTCCCAAAGAACTATCCAACCAGTCCCATTCTCTGGCCCCACCTCCCATAGCCTTTTAAATTCTCCTGAAAATATATATCTAGCTCTCTTTGAAACCTTGTATGCAGTCTTACTTCACATTCTCCCAGGCAACACATCCCAAATCCCAACAACTCTCAGAGTAAGAAGTTTTTCCTCATCTCACTCCTAGCTCTCTTGCTGACATTTTGAAATTGTGACCCCAAGTTACTGACATACCACCTAGTGGAAACAAAATATCCTTCTTAACGCTGTCAAAATTATTCATAATTTGGAACATCTCAATGAGGTCACCTCTTAATCTCTGCTTTAAGGAGAATAAGCCCAATTTCTCTAATCGCTCCTTGTATCTAAATCCCTCATCCCTTTATCAATCTAGTAAATCTCCTTTGATTTCTCTCCAGGGCTTTAACAATAATAACACCTTCCTTAAATAAGGTGCTCAGAACTGAACACAATACTCCAAATGTGGTCTGACCAAAGATGCAAAGATGTGGCATCACTTCCTTGCTTTCATATTCTATGCCTCAATTTATAAACGCAAGGATCCTATAAGCCGAATTAACAACTGTTTCACATTGCCTGGCCATCTTCACATGAACCCCAAGGTTCCTCTACTCCTGTACTCCCCCCAAAGTTGTTCCCATTGAGCCTATATTATCTTTCTCTGTTTCTTCTAACAAAATGCATTACCTCACATTTCTCTGCATTGAAATTCATCTGCTAGATGTCCGACCATTTGACCAACTTGTCAACATCCCTCCGAAGTTGCTCAGCATCCTCCTCACAATTCACTATTCTCACAAGCTCAGTATCACCTACAAATTTAGAGATTTTGCATCAACACTCACCTCCAAATCATTTTTATAAATCAGAAAAAGCAAGGGTCCCAACATCGATCCCTGGGAACACGATTTCCAACTCGTCTCCAATCTGAGAATGCCCATCTATAACTACCCTCTGTTTCCTATCTTTTAATCAACTCTTTCAGGAGCCAATGCAGATATGATGGATTGAAAGAGCCTTCTTTATGTGATCCCCTCAGTCATAGTGAGCAAGCTTACTTTTCCCAGAATCCTTCTCAGTTGCTTTCACTTCCGCCCTATTCACTGATCGTTCTCCTATTGAGCACCGGGTCTTTTGTGATCCTCTTCTCAGTTGTGCTGAGCAAGCTGACTTCTCACCGACCCTCCTCAGTCGCTTCTCACCACTGCCCTCTGTTATCTGAGTAACTCTAAGTTATGAGGCAGATACAGTAACAAATTTGGAAGACAAATGTCAGGTCAGCCTTTACTGAAAGAGGATTGGAGCAATTATACAGGGGTTTGGTAAGACCACGTCTGGAATATTGTGTTCAGCTTTATTCTCAACATTTAAAGAAATATTTACTTGCACTGGAGACAGCACAGCAAAGGTGCACTAAATTAGTCCCTGGGATGAGAGGGTTGTCCTATGATGAGAGGCTGAGTGAGGTCAGATTCTCTGGGTTTAGAATGAGAATTGATCTCATTGAAATATACAAGATATTTAGAGTACTCGACAGGGTAGAAGGTTGTTTCTTCTGACTGGGCAATCTAGGCATAGCGGTACAGTCTCAGGACAAGAATACAACGATTTAGGAATGAAACGCCTTCAGTCTAAGAGTTGTAAATCTTTGGAATTCTCTTCCCAGTGATATGGATGCTCCTATGAAGCACTATGGATGGAGGTTGGGGGTGACCTTATAGAAGTTTATAAGATCATGAGGGGCATGGATAGGGTGAATAGTCAAGGTTTTTTCCCAGGGTAGGGAAGTCCAAAACTAGAGGGTGTAGGTTTTAGATGAGAGGGGAAAGATTTAAAAGGGACCTAACAGGCAACTTTTTCCACAGACAGCGTGGTGTATGTATGGAATGAACTGCCAGTAGAAGTGATGGAGGCCAGTACAATTACATCTAAAAGGCATACCCATCCAGATGTGACCAGGAAAGTTTTAGAGGGATATGGTCCAAATGCTGGCAAATGGGACTAGATTCATTTAGAATATCTGGTTGGCATGGATGAGTTAGACGAGGGGTCTGTTTCAATACTGTACATCCCTATGACTCTATGAATATTATTAAGCCAGTTTTGGGGTATCACAGGACTTGGAAAATAGAATTAAGGTTGACAATCACCCATAATCACATTGAATGACAGAGTCAAGTGGCCAAATTGTCCACTCCTGCTCTTATTTATTTTCACCCATGTTTTCATATAGTCAGTGTTAATATTGTGGTTAACAATTCTGTGTGCAGTTGGTACTCTTGTACTATCCAACAGTAAAATCCTGTAAGTTGTGTAATGTTCAAGGGTAAAAGGGAACTCACCTGCAAGGTTATATGCATCCAGAATGTCCTGCAGAGTCTTGACTCTCCCTTTCAGCAACGTGGAACTGACATCCACCTTGTCCAGCAGTGGCACTGAGTTTGTTTGTGTCTCTGCCAGGATATCTAACAAGGACTGCACATAAGAGAGCTGGTGTCAGCGTGGGAATGTCAGACAAACAGCTCTTACAAGCTGATCGTAATCAATACTGCACTTCACCCGATATCGTAAATAACAGCTGGATCTTCCTGGCCCCCAGTGCTGCTATGGGGACACAGGTTCAAATCCCACTACAGCAGCTAGCAGAATTTCAATTCAGTAAGAATCTGGAATTGAAGGCCAATTTCAGTAATGGTGACCATGAAATGAAATTATAATTGATTCCCATAAAACCCATCTGGTTCACTCCTATTCTTTAGTCATAGAGGTTTACAGCAATGGAAACAAGCCCTTCAGCCCAACTTGCCTATGCCACCCAGTTTTCTCAATTTGCCCATGTTTGATCCATATCCCTCCATACCTATCCCATCTATCTACCTGTCTAATTGTTTCTAAAATGGCGAAATTGTATTTACTTCTACATCTACCAGCCCAACTAGAAATTCATCACCCTCTGTGTGAAACAGTTGCCTCTCTGGACCCTTTTGTATCTCTCCTCTTAAACCTATGCCCTCTAGTTTTAGACTCCCTTACCATGGGGAAAAGCTGACGGCTATCTCCCTTATCTATGCCTCTCATGATTTTATATACCTCTATAACGTCACTCCTCAGTCTCCTACACTCCAGGGAAAAAAATCCCAGCCTATCCAACCTTTTTTACTTTTTTTTATTCATTTTTGGGATGCGGGCGTTGCTGGCTGGCCAGCATTTCTTGCCCATCCCTAGTTGCCCTTGAGAAGGTGGTGATGAGCTGCCTTCTTGAACCGCTGCAGTCCTCCTGCTGTGGGTTGACCCACAATGCTATTAGGGAGGGAATTCCAGGATTTTGACCCAGCTAAAGTGAAGGAACGGCGATATATTTCCAAGTCAGGATGGTGAGTGACTTGGAGAGGAACTTGGAGGTGATGGTGTTCCCATATATCTGCTGCCCTTGTCCTTCTAGATGGAAGTGGTCGTCGGTTTGGAAGGTGCTGTCTGAGAATCTTTGGTGAATTTCTGCAGTGCATCTTGTAGATAGTACACACTGCTGCTACTGAGCATCAGTGGTGGAGGGAGTGAATGCTAGTAAACGTAGTGCCAATCAAGCGGGCTGCTTTGTCCTGGATGGTGCCAAGCTTCTTGAGTGTTGTTGGGGCTGCACTTATCCAGGCAAATGGGGAGTATTCCATCACACTCCCAACTTGTGCCTGGTAGATGGTGGACAGGCTTTGAGGAATCAGTAGGTGAGTTACTCGCCGCAGTATTCCCAGCTTCTGGCCTGCTCTTGTAGCCACTCTGTTAATGTGGTGAGTCCAGTTGAGTTTTATAACCTCTCCTTATAACTCAAATCTTCCAGAACAGGTAGCATCCTAGTAAATCTTTTCTGCACTCTTTCCAGTTTATTTAAGGGAAAGTGCATTATTATTTAAGTGATTTATACTGTAAATAAAGTATAAAAGTGATATGTATACCCCTCAAATTACATTCCTATTACTTAGTGTATGTTTTTACATCGATTATGTAGACTTCTTGATCAAACAGAATACTTGTTCAAGCGGACACTCCTGGTCAATAAAACCTTTGCTGTAGTGAAGAGGGTAGTCATAAACTGCCAAAGATGCCAACAGACTTGTTGACTAGGCAGAGCAGTGGCAAATGGAATTCAACCCGCTAAAGTGTGAAGTAATGCACTTGAGGAGGACTAACAAGGGAAAGGATTACTCTCTGAATGGTGGGATCCTGGAAAGCATTGAAGATCAGAGGAACCTTGGTGTGCATATCCACAGATCACTGAAAGTAGCAAGTCAAGTGGATATGGTAGTTAAGAGGGCATATGGATACTTGCTTTAATTACCTGAGGCATATAAAATAAACGCAAGTAGGTTAAGCTGGAAAGAGTTTAGGACTGTAAAAAGCTCACAATTTGAGCCTTGTGGATTTGAAACCAGGGCTCTGACTTGGACTGAGTATCATACTTTAGCTAAAGCTACTAAACACCTTCACTTACTCCAGCAGACTGCGCAATCACTTTGGTCCTCAGAGCATCCCTTTTTGATCTCAGTCTTTCCAACAGTGTTTTCTCCTGTTCTAGAACCTGCTGTCTGTGCTGTGCTTCTAATTGTTCTGACGCCAGCTTCTTGGCACATTTCTCCAGCACCTTCAAGTGTTCCAGTACACCTGCAAAAGTCAAAAAATGGATGAATTGCTTTTTATTTTGAAATGCTTCACACAAAGTATTACACACAAACATTAAATTACTGCATGTCAAAAGACCAAACTCCACCTAGTTCAATTTCTCCCATCCAGGTAGTCACATGGCACATCAATAAAGCAATTGCCTCATTGTCATGATCAGTCTTTATCACTGAGTCCACAACAGATAGAGGATGCAGTATAATGTGGAAAAATGAGAGGTTATTCATTTTGGCAGCAAAAACAGGAAGACAGATTTTTACCTGAATGGAGATAGACTGGGATAGGAGTGGTGCAATGAGATCCAGGTATCCTTGTACACCACTTGCTGTAAGTAAGCATACAGGTGAAGCAGGTATTGAAGAAGGCAAATGGAATTTCAGCCTTCACAGTGAAAGGATTCAAGCACAGGAGCCGGGATACAAACATATAAACGAACAAGCAACCAGAGTAGGTCACTCAGCCCTTCAAGAGTGTGCCGCCATTCAGTAAGAACATGGCTAATCTGATTTTACCCTCAACTATACATTCCTGCATATCCCCGATAATCTTCCATCCCTTTTGGTAACCAACAATCGATCTATCCCTACCTTAAAAATACTTAAAGAATCTACAGCCAGTTCCTTTTGAGGAATGGAATTCCAAAGGTTTACAACCCTCTCAGAAAATAACTGTTTCCTTATCTCTGTTTTAAATGGGCACCCCCTTATTTTTGACTCCAGGTTCTCCCACAAAGGAAGCATCCTTTCAACATCACATGGTCAAGTCCCATCAGGGTCTTATATGCTTAAATTAAGTCACCTCTGACTCTTCTAAACTCCAGAGGATACAGCCCTAGCCTGTCCAGCCTTTCCTTTGAAGGGGATTCACTCATTCCAGGTATTAGTCTGGTAAACCTCCTCTGAACTGCTTTCAACTCATAAACATCCTTGCATAGGTAAGGTGACCAGTATTGTACACAGTACACCCAATGGAGTCTCACCAATGCAATGCATAACTGAAGCACAGCCTCACTACTCTTAGATTATAAGACTATAAGAAGATTATAAGACTTTAAGAAATAGAAACAGGAGTAGGTTGTCCAGCCCCTCAAGCCTGCACCGCCATACAATAGGATAATGAACTGACATTCCTCACTTCCACTTCCTTGTCCTTTCCCAGTAACCCTTGAGTCCCCTGCTGATCAAAAATCTATTTATCTCAAAGTCATACAGCATGGAAACGGACCCTTTAGTTCAACCAGCCCACACCAACCATAATCCCAAACTAAATTAGTCCCACCTGCCCGCACCTGGTCTATATCCCTCCAAACCTTTCCTATTCATGTACTTAGCTAAATGTCTTTTAAACGTTGTAACTATACTCGCATTCACCACCTCCTCTGGCAGTTCCTTCCACACATCTCAAATCTTTCTCCTCTCACTTTAAAAATATGTCCCCTAGTCTTGAAAATTCCCCACCCTGGAGAAGACATCTGCCATTCACCCTATCTATGCCCCTCATGATTTTAAAAACTCCCGTCCAAGATGGTGGTGGAGTAGGGCTCCTGTGCCAGAGGTCATCTGCTCCAACCAATTTTCTTTCTTTACTCTTTTTTTTTTGAAACTTACTTACCCTGTCCTGAGCTTGGACAGTATTGGTGACGGCGAGAGCCCAGAGTGCAGACCTCAAGTGGTCTCGAGCTGAGCTCAGGGCACAGACCTCAAGCAGACGTACTGTGGACATCAAGCAGGCCCAACGCCGTGGAAAGTGAGTTCCTACTTGCTTTTCTGGAGCAAGCAGAGGACCTGGAATCAGCAGCTGCTACATTGGCAGAGGTGACGTCAGAGAGTTCAGCCCAGTGACAAAGATGACACCTGAGGATCAGCAACTTCATTGTTAGCTGGGTCTGATTTGATTTATTTTAGTCCGAGTACCTAAGTACAGTGAAAAGCTTTGTTTGTGAGCAGTACAGGCAGATCATAGTAAGCAATGATCATAGACTGCTTAGGCAGAACGAGGCATACAGGATACACTGCACAGGAGGTGCGAGAAGCAAGCTCAAAATTAACTAGGTTAACATTATTTGAAGTTGGAGAGTCTATTCATCAGTCTAATAATGGCAGGGAAGAAGCTTTTTATGAACCTGTTGATGCACGTGTTCAAGCTGCCTGACGGAAGAGGTCTGCCTTTCCGTGGCAACGAGAAGTGTAAATGGAGTCCATGGATGGAAGGTTTGCTTCCGTGATGGTCTGGTCTGTGCACACAACCTTCTGTAGTTTTTTATGGTTCTGGGCAGAACAGTTTCTGTATCAGGCCTCTATGCACCTGGATACTACGCTTTCTATGGTGCATCTCTAGAAGTTGGTGAAGGTCCTTATAGACATGCTGAATTTCCTAAGCCACCTGAGGAAGAAGAGGCAGTGTTGTGACTTCTTGACCGTCGTATCTACGTGGGAAATCCAGGACAGGTTGTCGGTTGTCGTCACTCTTAGGAACTTGACACTCTCTCAAACCCCATTCCCTTGATGTTGACTGGGCATGTTCTCCTCCTTTCTTTCTGAAGTCAATGATCAATTCTTTTGTTTTGCCAACAGTGAGACAGAGGTTGTCATCACTGAAACCACAACACCAAGCTCTCTATCTCCTTTTTATATTCTGACTCATCGTTGTTTGATATCAGTCCGACCCAGTGGTGTCATCAGCAACCTTGTAGTTGGCGCTGGCAGTGGTAAAGCGATGGTGGAAGGTCATCACTTCAACATCAATAAGATTGGCCCAGCGGTAAGACATGCAATGTTGTTTGATGTTGGTGGATCTGGCACAGGAGGCAATGAGGCGGTGACGGAAGAGTAACAGACCAGCGGCAAAGATGGTGCCTGAGTATCAGCGATTTCGACGTTGGTTAGGTCCAGTGTAGATGGTGGTGAAGTGGTTGCGGAAGGATGGCAGCGCAGGCATTGTCAACTGTGATGAGTTGGCTCAGGACTGATGGACTCTCCAAGTTATATTTTTTTTATTCATATTCTTAAATTATTCAAAATGGCACCATTTTGTGGTGACAAATGAAAACTTTTCTCTGTATTTTATTGTATTTTTACTGTAAAATACAGTGACAATCAAATCGAATTCTATAAGATCACCCTTCAATCTCCATGCTCCAGTGAAAAAAAACATCCCAGCCTATCCAGCCACTCCTCATAAATCAAATAAAAACCGAAAGAACTGTGGATGCTGTAAATCAGGAGCAAAAACAAAGTTGCTGGGGAAGCTCAGCAGGTCTGAGAAGGGTCACCGATCCCGAAACTTTACCTCTGTTTTTTCCTTCACAGATGCTGCCTGACCTGCTGAGCTTCTCCAGCAACTTTGTTTTTGCTCCTCATAACTCAAACCAACCTGTCCCAGGAAGATCCTGGTAAATCTCTTCTAAACCCTCTCCAGCTTAATATTATCCTTCCTATACCAGGGCAATCAGAACTGGACACAGTCCTCCAGAAAAGTAATGTCCTGTACAACCTCAGCATAACGTCCCAACTCCTTTACTCAAAGATCTGAGCAA